TGGACTGTAGCCATTCAGGTGTGAAAGAGTTAACTTGGGTAAAAATTGCATTAGCTGTACTCTGGTACATTTGATAATAAGGTTGTTTATTATAACTTAGTGATGTTTAAATCATCACTGTATGTTCTGTTAAAGATAAAAAATATGTTATTAATACCTTTAGCAACTGTGAAGGTTTGTCCTTATATAATAGAGGTTTCCATGCTGTCAATGGGTCTGTTGTAGCAGAAGAGGAACAAGAAAATAACTGTGGTGAAGTAACAGGAAATACTGAGGTAACTTGTAGAATAAAAACTTTTACAGTTTTCTGTTTTGAAAAAGTGGCTGCATTCATGAATTGTTGACAGAATATGTGCATTCATTATTGTAGATTAATAATAATTTTCTAGAATTAAAATGCCTTTATTGCTTTTAATCAATGATGTGTCTGAGCTCTGAATCTCAGAGTTGAAGAGTAGGCTTCTAGAGCTTCCAACTAATTAGAAAAACTAAGCATAATTACAAGCAGTGATGTAACATTTCACTCTTCTATCTATTTGATTTATTGACATATCAAACACATCTGAAAAGCCCCTCCCATCTCTCTCTGAGTTTACTGAGCTGATGGACACATTTTAACCAATTAAAAGAGCAGATTCTCTCTAAACAAGGCTCATTACAATAATAGGTTTTGGCATCCGTGTAATAACAGTGTAGTGTAATTTATTGGTATGAAAACTTCATAATCCTGCTCTGACAATCTAATGGAATTTTTTTATCTACCTATAGCTTAGTTAGAAGGGAAGCTCCATTATAATACATATGAGACATCCTAATCTAGTGACTAATATATTTTTTGTGTTCTTGGCTGTATTTTTGAAAGCTACATGAATTATGTTTTGGAGACCCAAATTTGTGAGATTCTGTGATGCTTATGTTGTGAATAAGCAACATGAACTATACAGGTAACAGCAAATGAGTTAATTCTGTGATTTAGTGTTTTTCACGGGGAATGAATTTCTCCTGTGGTCCAAAGTACAGTCCATAAAACCATGAAATTCAAAGAAAATAGATATTACAAGCTAGATAGTTAAAACTATGAAGATAAGTAACTTGAAAACGTGAGATAAAATATACATTCAATAAATAAAAAAGGTACTATTCCTTTTATTTCATATTTTAAAATTTTTCATGTCATACAATTAATATTAGGGTAGAGAAGATAAGAGATAAAATACAAAGTTTTATTGATAACAGCTATTAATATTCATTTAGGATATTCTTGAGTTTTTGTTAGTGACATATGATAACTGTACAATGAAAAAAGTATTTAACTTCTTGACATGAAAATCAGCTTTCACTCAGACTGAGTAGAAGTTCACAGACAAAACTTTAGTAAAAATAATTTGTTAAAAATATGATGTTTTGTGTGCAACAGACTTATAATCTATATGCTACTAAAACTCTGAGATTTTTTGTTTGCTTGTCTGTAATTAAATACAGCAAAAAACGGCACACAATAGCACCATATTTGTAATGAAATAAGAATAGAAACAGAATAAAACAAGTTTCGTT